GATTCCTCTTGGCCATTATATCAGCAAGAGATGCACCAGTGATGGCCCTCTGGAATTTGACTGCTCGTCGTGTTCTTTTCTTTTGAATTTCTTCCTACAGTGAAAATATGGGACACACACTCACTGCCCTTGCTTCATGAATTTGGAAAGAGAAATCTTTCAAGGTTCACAGTCACGAAAAACATTCCATAGTAATTACTTGAAATAAAGCATGCTAGTTTTCCACTTAAGAATTTTTTAAACCCCCTATTAACAACCCTGGCCTTTCTATTATTTGTGAGAACTTAAAAATTGAACTGTGAGAAGCAATGCTCATTTCATAAAAATAAGTGCTGTAATCTCAGCACTCTGGGAACCCAGTGCAGAAGGATCGTGAGTTTGAACCCATCATGGGCAACCTCAAAAGACCATGTCTCAAAGGGGGGGCTGGAACACAGCTCAGTGTGAAGGTCCTAAAGTCAATCTCCAGTACAACCACCAGGAAAAAGTGGTTTTAGGGCAAGGGATGCAGTTCAGTGGTAAAAAGCTTGAGTAGCAAGCACAAGGCCCTGGATTCAACCCCTAGCATCACACAAAAAAGTATCTGTTTACATATTTAAGAATCTAATTACCTAATGTAACTCAAAGGTCTAACACAGAAGAGAATCTTTACAGTTGGCCCTTTACTCTGTTCCCATTCAACAGGAACTCTCCATTCGGCCCTTCCCCTTACTTTTCAGTCTTTATTAATCTGAAAATTCTAGTGCTTTATAAAATGGGATCATTTATATCTTTTTTTTTCCACTTAGCAAGGTATCTTCAAGCTGCTTCTACTTTTGGCTGGTTGCCAACTTTTAAAGGCTTTTTATTATCCCATTGTATTGTATACAGACTGAGTACCCCGTTCCAAAATGCTCCAAAATCTAAAACTCTTTAGCAACTCATAAAAGCGGAAGATTCCACACCTGACTTTCTGTGAAAAGTTGCTGTAAAAATGCAGGCACAAGAAACTATTACATCAAACTACCCTCAGGTTATGTGCACAATAAACCGTGTCCCCTCGCCAAAGTATCTCAGGTACATACAACTGTTCCAAATTAAAAAACAGAAAAACCCACACAAAAACCAAACCACACACACACAACACCAATGACATCTCCGTTTCCAAGCATTTGCGGTCACATTTACCCTGTACATTTTGTCCATCCACTCAGTCAAGGCCATTTAGCTACTGTGAACAGTGCCGCTGTAAGTATCAGTACTTTGCGTTAAATCATTTTATCTTCTATGCTGCACCATTTTACATCCAGCCATGAACAAGGGTTCCCATTTCTCCACCAAAACCTGTAATACCCCGCTTTTCTTCAAGGAAAAGAAGAGTCTCTCAGATTCCCTTTTAAGTCCAAACAAGCCTAAATATTCCAAGTCTCCAGGGTACTAACTTCAGTCCTACCACCACGCTCAAAAACATTTCCTCCTAGATCTCCATCCAGCCAAAAGGGGCATCCTTAAGAATGAACCAGCACTGCATGTTGGAGTCTATGTCTCTATATGGGCGAAGCCTGTAAGAATTATCATGAAAACCAAAAGGCCATAATGAAGATTCAATTTCCACTCACCAGAACGCCGAACTCCGCAACAGTGCTATACGAACTAGCTTAATATAACTCATCTGGCTTCCCCAAAAGCATACTCCCAAATTTCAGCTCACTTCGAGCCCAGCGTGTTCAGGGAAATACTCTTCATATCCTTTCACTTCACTGTTTTACGCTTTCCAGCTTGTAAGAGGACATTCACGAACGTCTCAGTCCCGGTTCTACAGAGCAGAAACCAGCGCCCAAAGAGCCTGGATTCTTGAGGCGGCCCCACACCCCAAAGCGCGTCACACTTACCGACTGCCCCTTCTTGTGCTTTCTTCTGTACAGGACAGTCCAATTTATCTGCCGAGGATTTCTCTTGGA